CGTTGCAACAGCAGCATTAGTCATTTGCCGGCAAAAATAGAGAACATATTGAAGCTTAGGACAACCGGCAGACACAGCCACAAAGCCCGACTCCGTCACCCCATGGACTATATCCTGGTCAAAAGGGTCAGCAGGAAAGACTCGCAGTTCTTCGAGCAAGGGGCAGCTGGTTCCAACAGCCTCTAATCCCTTATCTTCGACAGTGTCAAGGACCTATAACAGAAAGATTAAGCATGAAGACCTTGAAAATAGAAAAATGGAACTACCAGGATAAGAAGGTGATTAGAGGGAGTGGCTGTGAAACAGCGATTCCACCAGAGGACAAACAGTGGGATCCTTTGAAGATTTTCCCCCCAGAGAAAACAACCACAGAGCAGTTTAAACTTTCTAAGACATATTAGTGGTCATTTTCAGTGACAATGAAGAAAACAAAGTCATGAAATTTATTTGCTTTTAAATTTTACTTAGTGCTGGAATGAAAGTATCTTGTTAACGACTACAGTTGGAAACTCCTTATTTTCCTCTACCTTTTCAATTTTACCCTTTATCCTGAAGAATACAACAGTTGATCATCAGAACAACAACTGCGCCTCTAACGGCACCAGTGGTATATCAGCTGAAAATTTTTGCGTTCACCATACAGATTAAGAATTCAAGAGACACCATGACAAATGAATTTGGTAACTCCTCCTCCTATTACTAAGGCGATAAACAGGTAATATTCCTCTTAAAAGCATGTAGATAATCCTGATCAGTCCATCATGTGAGGGTCAAGCTAACCTTCATTCAAACAGGAATGTACATGCACCAGTAAATAACTATAATAATAAAGAGTAGTTCAATCCCAACTTTTTCTTGGCAAAGAATTGAGGATGATGTCAGACAAACTTCTCGAAACTAGTAAGGAAGATCTTGATGTCAATTATTTTTTGATAAAGTAAGCGATGTCAATAAAAGGCATCAAGAAGATACAAGAAGTACATGAAGGAAATATCAATTCTCATGAACACGTCCAATGCTCTCTAGTGGTGAGGTTGTTCTTCAGAGAAAACATAGGTGGGAAAAATAAAAGATCTCTGTGTCATTCCTCCACAAAATGTCAAATGTTAGGATGCTAATACCTAAAACCTCATCATGAAAGGATTAGTCACAAAGATATTAGAGTTGCAGCTAGATCCTTACCCAAAGGCGTCTTAAATTTGGGCAATGAGCAAGAAGCTTCGATAATTCACCACTCCCAATGGTTGCATAGCTCAAGTTGAGGAAAGTCAGACTAGCACAGGCTGCATAAAGAACTGGTAAATATAGAGAAGTCGCTTCCCATAAACCCGAGAGAGTGTGCAGATGTTTGCAGTTGCTGAATGCACTTTCAACTTGTGCGTACTGCCGACTCGTGAGTTCTTGATGAAAGGATCCTGTACCGAGCTCCATCAACTGAGGAGCCCGGACAAGCAGGCGTTGCAATTGATCCAAGTTAATGTTCTTATTCACCTTCAGAACCCTCAGTGATTTGCACCTACTGACAAGTCTCTCTAGGGCATCGAAACTGATCTCACTGTTCAGACTGGCAAAGTTTAACACCTCCAGTGACGCAAAGTCATCCGGGAAACAACTTAGCCAACTACCAGCAATATCATCCATGCCATTCTCCTGAATGTCCAGCTCTGTCAACCTCCTGCAAAGGGAAACCAACATTTAGATTGGTAAGGCAATTAAGACAACTGGGATTCATCCATTTAGACTGCTGATAAGCATTAAATTAAGAGCGGGCCACAAAACAAGCTGACTTTTTGTTGCCTATGGAGAAAACCGTGTTTTGCATTTTCTAAACCTTGATGGTTTATTAGGGGTATCACCAGCTTAGGTGGAGTCTGGAGAAAGAAGAACTATGAAATCACTCAAACGAGCTCTTGTTATCATCTACATAAAACCACATTGTAATTGTATGTATCATTTTGATAATACATGAAGACATTTGTTATGTATCAAAGCCACAAACCAGAAAGTGAACACACAAGTCCTGCTTCTGCAGCATATAGAAATATGGGATGTGATATTTAGAGCCATCCTTCAAACTATATCCCCTTGGAACAATTGAGGATCATAACATCCAAAGATCTCACATTCTCAGATTCTTTTTGGTTCAGATTCTCATAATGTAAAATTGTAAAGTTGTCAACTTCTATGATTCGGAATCATTAAATGCAACTCAAGATGAAATTTTGGTAAGCAATTAGAATTTGTGATGGTATAAACATGGAAATACTTACAAAGTGAGAATTCTAATTGTTTATGGTAGCATCCAAAGATTCCACATTCTTAGATTCTCTTTGGTTCCGATTCTCATTATGTAAAGTCGCAAAGATGCCAACTTCTATGTTTGAAACTATATGATACCGCAATACTTAGGGCAGCTCATTATGAAAATTTGCTTCTGGAACATTATTATGGTTTAAACTTAAAATCAGAATCCTAATCACACAGGCCATCCATGTGCAGTAGCCAATGCCTTCATTAATTGCTTATCATAACATCCAAAGATCCATATTCTCAGTTTCTTTTTTGGTTCAGATTCTCATAACGTAAAATCGCAAAGATGCCAGCTTCTAGGTTTCAAACTATACGATATCGAAATCATAAGTGCTGCTCAAATGGAATCTTGGTAAACAATCTGGAACTTTGTGAAGGTATAAACTTGGAAATACTTACAAGTCAGAATACTAATGACACGGGCCATCCATGAGCATAGTCAATACCTTCCTTATTTGCTAAGAAAAAAATCAACATGACAGTCTCGTGAACCAAAATAACCCAGCATTGCTATAAATCTAGGGCAACAATTTGACAGCATATACTAGTTCAAGCTCCACAAGTCTAATCGCCTATAAAAGGTAAAGAGATCAAATGTACAGTACGAAGTCTAAGTTAAAGAGATACTCTTTCTTGACAAATAAGAAGAGTTATTTGTGCCTAACAATGGCATCAAGGAATTCTCTCAGTTAATGCTCATTAACAGGTCAATGTCACATCAAGAAAGTAACATAAAAATGAAGAGGTCCACTTATACTTTGTCTATCTTTTTTTTCTTCTTTCTTTTTAAATGTGAGGGAAGGCAGGGTGGTGATAACAAGATAACAGGCGTGTAACGTGTCCCGAACCAAGAACATGTCACTTTGTTTCTTCACCCACATGGCCACTTCAAATGAAAATGAAAGTTTCTTAACCTTTCCACATCCAGACACATGGGTCTACTGTTTTGTCCTCCATTATTACAATAATTAGCTTGGACCACCACGTAAACAGTATTGTTTCCTTTTCTCTATGTGCCTTGAATGAATTCTAAATCCACCAGACTAAAACTAAGATCCTAAAAGATCAAAGCTAGAAATACCCAGTTACAGCCAAACAAAAAAGAAACTATTTGAAGAAAGAAACAGAAGGTTTTCATCCAATCAACACCCATACCTGAAACATAACTGGTATATTAGAGTATCTACCAATCAGAAAAATATGAACTAAAAGAATTTGCTACTTGAAATAGTTAAGGATAACCAGTCAGAACAATCAATGTTAACAAGATAGACTTACTTGCAGTGAGTAGCAATGGATTTGATCCCATCAGTGCTAAACCCATCACAACTCAACAAAGAGAGAGTCTTAAATCCATGAAAGGATTTAGCCAAAAACTCCAAACTCTCATCACTAACAGTCATCCTCTTCAACCTCAACTCCTCGAGAAAGGGGTAAACTTTGGAAAAAACATCAAGCCAAGCCTGAATATCAGCACCCCAATTCTCTGGGACCAAATTAAAGTCAGAAAATCTTGGCTTCCCTTTAAGGGTAACGCTCTTAATCTTGGGAAATCTTCTTGCTACAATATCAGGAGAGACCGAATAGCAATTCCCAATGAACAACTTAGTCCTTGTCCAACGCTCTGCATTGTACCAATCTTTGCAAACCAATGAAGCTGAGTTTCTGTCCTTGTGAGACCGCACAAGTGACAGCACCTTCTCCAACACCTCATCTGGGAATGGTGATGCTGTTGACTCATTCAATGAATCTACCGATTCCCTCGATTTTTTCAAGCTGGGATTCATTTTCAGCTCCTTGTAGATTCAAAACAGCTTAAATCTCCTCAAGAAATAAAAAACTGCATTTAAATAAAAACAATCGCAAAGTTTAAATCTTTACACCATTTTCAGCCCCTTGTAGATTCAAACAGCTAAATCTCCTCAAGAAAACTGCATCCCAATAAAATAATGGCAAAGTTTAAATCTTTAAAGCGTTTTCAGCTCCTTGTAGATTCAAACACCTTGCTCTCCCCAAGGAAACTGCATTTAAATAATAGCAATTACAAAGTTTAAATCTTTATACCATTTTTGAGATATAGACAAATTATCAACTGCAAATTACAAAGAATAACACTAATTTTCCAAGATTTGTAACAAAAAATTGAAACATAATAGTAAATACTAGAAACTAAACCCATCTTGAGGCACCTGAATTTCAACAAGGATACATCATCTGCAATCAGTTCTAGTCCACTTTGGTAGAGCTTTCAAGAAAACAAATAAAAGATATATTGGTCTAAAGAGTATTTCTTGAAGAGAGGGGAAAGAGGCTCAGAAATAGCAGAACTTTCTGAAACACTTCTGAAAAAAAGCAGATAGAGAATGACACATAAAAATCAGCTTAAAACCATACCTAGATCAAATTAAAAAGAAAAAAAAAACTCCACCACTAAAACTACAGTCCAATTACAAGAAAAATCAGGAAAAGGTGGGTTCTTGAGAAAATAAATTGGGATTGAACAAGAATTGAAAAAGGTGTAGGCTTTTTTTATTGCATACCTCAGTCTTGAGTGTGGTGTAAAAATGTGGACACTTTGGTGAACCAGAAGAGCCAAAGAAACTCTCAACCCAACCCCTTATATATTATATAGCAAACCAAATTATACCCCCAAAAGAAAAAGAAAACTTTATTGCATAAATAAATTATTAAATTACAAGATTAAATTCATTTTTTAATTTATCAAAGTACTGTACACATAAAGGTTATAATAATAAGAAAGTCTACCATATGTGAAGCTGACAGACATGGCAGGCGAGCCAAACCCAACCCTCTCCAGCGTGGGGACAGTGGTGTGAGCTTATGATTACCTGACACGTGTACATAATCACGTTGGTGCGTACATCTTTCACGGCGCATATTAGACAAGAGCCATTTTTATGGTGCGCAGTAACGGTAAATGGGTAATTTTGTACCTTTCACCCCTCAATTACGATATGTGGTATTTCCTTATTATACTTATCAACAATTTTGAATAAGTTTTGGCGAAAGTTTTTCTAAGAAATTTGTTAGAGAAAAAAGTTTATGTAAAAAAAAGTGTACTTGAATAATTGTAGTAGTTGGTCAGCTCGTTGTTAAGGGTGAGAGGAGGGTCAATGTGAATGGAAAATTAATAGAAGTTCATAAATATTCTTACACAACTATGTAAGTAAAGCAAAATTAAGAGACGTAAAAGATTTCACCCATAGATAAATTCTATGTAAGTTTGTTCCGTCCTTTCTAAAATTAGACTAGAAATAAACATATATGTTGTCGTTCAAAGTTCAAATTATCAATTGTGAGAGGAAAGATAAGGAAAAAATGCGAATAGGAGAGGTGAAAAGTAAAAAGATTTTTCTTACTTTGAAAAGAGATAATTAAAAGTGCATAAACGAGAAAAAAATAATGAGATTAGCACAAGGGTATTAAACGAAGTGAAAAAGTGGCGGTCCTAGCTTTTGTCAGCAAAGATTGGCAAATCACACTACACATTTTGGCTTTCATATTGGAGTTTAGGTATTATTTGTATTTATTTATTAATATATACTTTCTTTCCCTTGTTCCACGTCATGCATGCTACTACTTCTTTTGATGGTATTTCAAATAAAATTGAGTAACAGTGGTTTTTAATTACCAGTTTTTTAATCTTTGTTAATTAAAACTCATGTCAACAATGTCTAAATACTACTAAGTTTTTACTTTAACTTCATTCAAATATTATCCAAACGCCTGCAGACACTCTCTTTCTCCAAATATTTGACACCGAAAATGCTCTATTTCCTACGTATATACATTAATAAATGGAATTTTCTTTTAAAAAACTGTGGTGTCCAGACCATCTTGTGCTCACCTTGATTTATTTTAAAAAGTAGCTTTATGTATAATAACTAATTTTATAGCCAAGAATGCAATCATCCACATAAATCCCTAACCTAAAAGAAGGATTCACGTAATTAAATAAAATTATATTGATCTAGTTCAAAAGTTTTCCAAATTAAGGTGAAAACTAAGCCTAACCTTCCAAAATAATTGGATGAAACTGGTAACAAAATAATTGAGTGAAATCACAAGATAATTAGATGAAAATGAAATTGTTAACAAATAATTTATTGTAATTTTTTCATATTTGGTATTTGCGGAAAACGCTCAAAAAAAACAAAATTAGGCAAATGGTGGAAACGAAGATTGTAGGAGTTCTTTGTTTTTCTTAAAGAAAATAGAATTTTTTTTAGGTGATTGTATTATTTTTTTAACTGCAACAACAAAATATGGCTTTTTTGGACAGACGACCACGTAGTGAATATTGTGGAAGATACTGAACAACAGGTAACATGCCAGATTAGTAACACATGAGTTCTACGCCATTGTATTTGACAGTAGTGTATGCAAAGTGCAAGGTTCACTTACGACTGCAGTTATGGAAAGAGTTGAGAGGTGTAGCAAGCAGAATTCAAGGTGCCTGGGCCTGGGGAGTGGTTGGTGACTTCAATGTGATCACTGATTGTACAGAGAAGAAAGGTGGCACACCTTATAGATTAGAAAAAAGTGTTGATTTTCTATCTTGTATTGATAATTGTGGGCTTCAAGGTGCAGGTTTTTATAATTTTATGTACACATGGAGCGACAATAGTGGACCCCCTAATACTATATGGAAGAGGCTAGATAGGTTGATGTTTAATATAGAATGGTCTGATGAATTCTCAGAAACTTCAGTGGAACATCTCGCTAGAGTTTGTTCGGATCATGCACCCCTGCTACTCAACATGAGAAAAGTAACCACTACCTATCCAAAATATTTTAAATTTCTAGACTTCTGAACTAAACATGAAGAGTTTCTTTCCGTAGTTCAAGAGGAGTGGCGGAACCTATATATGGTAATACTCTATGAATTNCTCTATGGATTTTACATCAGAAATTAAAGAGGGTCACTAAAAGATTGAGTTCTTGGTCGAGAGAAGCATTTGGTGATATATATGAAGAACCAAAAAGGCTTGAAAAGAAGATAAAAGACTTGGAAGAATTACATATTGCTGATACTACATCTGCGCATAGGTCTGAATTGAATGAAGCAAAGGCTAAATATGTGCAGGTTCTGAAAATACAAGATGAGGTATTGAGACAGGAAGCAAAAGCGCAATGGCTTGAGGAAGGAGATATAAACACCGCATACTTTCATAGTGTCATAAAAGGAAGAAGGAGAAGATTATCAATACAAAAGATACAAGATGAAAATAGACAATGGAAAGAAGGGGAGAGTGAAGTTGCACAAGCTGCTATAAACCATTTTCAGAAATTGTTTAACCATGGTGCTGGTTCAAATGACTTCTCTGCATTAGAGTGTATCAATCCAAGAGTGACAGATGAAGAAAATGAGATGTTAACTGCCTTGCCCACCTTGGAGAAAATCAGAGAAAGTATTTTTTTCAATTGATCCGACTAGTGCCCCAGGTCCAGATAGGCTAAATGCTCTATTTTTTCAAAAATGTTGGACTATTATTATTGATGATGTACACAATGCATTTTTGGCCTTCTTCGAAGGTGCCACCATTCCTAGATTCTTCTCTCACACTTGTCTGGTCATGATGCCAAAGGTAGAGTTCCCACAGAAATTGTCAGAGCTCAGACCAATTAGTTTATGCAATATGTCAAGTAAGATAATATCCAAGGTACTGAATGCTAGGTTGGCTCAAATATTGCCCAAGATCATCTCAGGAAACCAGTTAGGCTTTATCAAGGGGAGACTGATTTCAGAGAACATAATGCTAGCCAATGAGATCATAAATGAATTCCCAAAATCAAAGAAATTGAGTAATATAGTCATGAAATTAGATATGGCCAAGGCATATGATAGAGTATCCTGGTCGTATCTTTATCATGTGATGAAGAAGTTAGGCTTCTCAGAGAAATGGGTAGATTTGATTCGAAGGCATATCTCATGTAACTGGTACTCTATTATTGTGAATGGTCAGCGACACTGTTTTTTCAAATCAGAGAATGGGCTACGACAGGGAGATCCCATCTCACCTTCATTATTTTGTTATATGTGCTGAATTCTTATCTATTATGCTGAACAACCTACACAACAATAGAGACTTCACTGGTTTCTCTATGTCTAAAAGGGGGGCTCAAATAAATCACCTTGCATTTGCAGATGATCTTATTCTTTTTTGTAGTGGAAGAAAGAGAACAATCAAGCTAGTGATGAATACCATGGCGGCCTATCAAGTTGCATCCGGTCAGTTAGTAAACAAGACTAAGAGTTGTTTCTTAATGACAACTGGTACTTCAGACAGTGTGGGCAACAGGATTGCGCGATGGACGGGAATGCAACAACAAAACTTTCCAATCAGATACTTAGGTTGCCCTTTGTTTGTTGGAAGGCAACGGATTGCATATTACTCAGAGATGATCACTAAAGTAACTAGCAGGATAAGAGGCTGGCACTCTAGGTTATTGTCTCCAGGGGTAAAGCTACTTTGATCAGACATATTCTTCTTGCCCTCCCTGTGCACCTGATTTCAGCCTTACAACCTCCTTAGGGTGTTCTTGTTCAAATAAAGAAACTACTGGCAAAATTTTTTTGGAGTTCTACAAATGGCACAGTTAGACACCACTGGGCTTCATGGTCTAATTTATGTTATCCATATGCGGAGGGGGTGCGCATTTCAGGAGCTTACAAGATATATGTAAAGCACTCTCATCCAAGATATGGTGGAATCTAAGAACGGGCAACTCTCTGTGGAGGGACTTTATGCTAGCCAAATACTGCAGTAGGTACCACCCTGTAGCCAAAAAACCTAGCACAGTGACATTACATAGTTGAAAACAGATGTGTAAGATCAAACATAAAGTAGAGGAGCACATGATATGGTTAGTGGAAAATGGTGAAGTATCGTTCTGGTATGATAATTGGACTTCACTAGGACCACTTTGCAAGTATCTGGGAGATGAAGCGAGACCCAAAGACATAAAATTGAGGGACGTCTTCGTAAATGGTGAATGGAATGAGAACAACACTGGATTGACTTGGCCAGAATTCTTAAAGAATATCGTGCAAAATATGGATTTGGCCCTATGTCCTGACAAGCTGGACAAACCAATATGGGTACCAGATAGGAGAGGAACCTTCACGACATCATCAGCATGGAACATATTTAGACAGAGAAGGGGACCTTCTACTACGGATACTAGGATTTGGCATAAGTCAGTCCCTTTTAAAATGGCCTTTCTCACATGGAGAGCAATTCATGATAGACTATCTACGGGTGAGAGAGTATCCGGGATGGGTATTTCTTTAGTGACAAGATGTTACTGTTGCAGATCAGCAACCCCTGAAACGATCGAACATTTATTCTGCTCAGGAACTTTTGCAAAAACAATATGGTCTAATTTTTTGTGCTCCATTTGGTATTTCTTGCAGGGATACTCACTTGTTACAACTACTTCACTCCTGGTGGAACCTCAGAGTTTTGAATAT